ATGATATGAGTGATAGTAACATTTAATTTTGAGTGTTGATAGGAAAATCATGGTTGGGCATAATGAGCCCATAGTTAATGTTTTATATTTGAGTTGTTTTTATATAGAGACAAAACCAAAAAGAAAACACTCTGTCATGGAAATCTGTATTAATTTATGTCGCCTATATAACAACGTTCCAGTCATTTGAGAGTGAAAGATCATTGAAAAGGGGAAAGCTGCTATTTTTAAATCAACATTCACATACGAGAGAATAGATCTATAATATCATAGAATTTTACAAAACACAAGAAGGTAAAGAAGTTTTCAGCCTTAATAGATTCCAGCCTGCATTCCTAGTAAAGATTATACATACAAAGAAATTCATCCAAGGAATATGACTAAAAAAGTGGACTGTCAGTTCTAAATACATAGCACCGAGGGTATTATGGAAGGAAAGCCTTATCAAACAGTCATTCTTACCCATGCTCCGTTGATTTCAACTATTCTTGGGGAATCAACATGACAAACTGAATCTTTAAATAATTTAGAATACAGTAAAACCTTGCGAATAACATGGTTTGCGAATGTTCTACAAGACGAGCAAACATTTCGAATACATTTTAATGTTGTAAACAAGCAATTTCTTGCAATACGAGTAGTTTGTTTCCAGAACGAATTATGCTCACAAACCAAGGTATTAGAGTAGTAGTATTGATCTTACTGAGGATGAATAAATTCTCAAATAAAAAAGTTTGGGCATTGATGTGAAACACTAAACTTAAAAACTCTGAGCATTTTCCCTCTTTCTTACTTGGGAGTCCAGAGACAAACAAGTGCTTAGAAGTGCAAAATTAGTTTTATTTTGAGAAGCACAGTTCCCTGTAATAGTTTCAGGGTTTTTTTTCTTATCATATCTTAAAATGGCTACTGAATTAATTCATATATATAGTTTAGGTCAATTTTACTTAAAAAGTTTCATTTTGAGTTTCTTTACTGAAAAGAATTCTTTTCAAGAAAAGCCCTGAAAAATTAATCATTTATATAATAAAACACTATTTAGATGAATGTAATTGATTATCATTTAAAGAATTACTTTTAATTTTATAAGACACAACAATATTTTAAAAAAAGTCCTTGAAACTCCTCAACAATTAAATATTTAATCAATTTATAATACAAGAGAATGTTTAATCTGCATGATTTAGCAATTAAATACTACACCCTGATGTGTCTTCAGCAACATGAGAGCTAAAATGAAATTGTTTCAAAGGGACTCAAGGTGGGCAGTGCCCAATAAATACACAAAGGTTTAGAGAGGTAGGTTTGGTGTCTGTCCTGCACAATTAGACGCACTTCAGTGCCTCGGTATTGTAATATTCTTGGACACTAGGAAATGACCGCAGAGGGTGCTCTTGCGGCAATTACTATAGATGTCAATTTTGACTTCTGAAACATGACCATTTGCCAACCTAGAGATCCAAAGCTCTCAAGGGATGCTCCCAGTGTCTCTCCTGACACACGGGCACCTGTGGCTGGCACTGTGTGTCCTGAAACCTGGGAGTGTGGAAAGGAACATCACAGCAGGCATTACAAAGCTGGAATTTAAGAATTAGAAAACCTTTGTCATGCTTTTATATTGGGATAAGACAAGCTGTAGTTGGTCTTTATTTGATAAAAAATTTAAAAAGGCTGCTGACAATGGCGTTTTACATGTAAGAAAAAGAATATCAGGGTAAGGGATTGCCTCCTACAAAGCAGAAAAACCTTCTTTTGGTGAATCCATTTTTCCTCCTGTAGGAGAACATCCTTTAAGATTTCTCTTACCCAGATATATTTTTTTTAATTGAAAAAGAAAATTTAACATGTAGATTCAAAACTTAGCATAGGTACCAATGACCACTAGAGAGGCAGGACAGTCTCTGTTTAAAATATTCTGGTCACTCAGAAAAAGTTAGCATGAATGCAGATTATATGAGTTGCAACTATTTTTCTAAATTTGGGTTTCAAAATCATGGTGGTAGATACATTGAAGGTTGTATGGCACAGATATTCTTGTATATAGATTCTCTTTTCTACCTCCTTATCCACTGCATTTACTATTGCTGCTCGGGTGGTTACCCTGGTTTCACCTGGCCATCACAAAAAACTTAAGAACTGCTATTCTGGGGTGCAGCACTAAGCATGTAACCAACCCAGTAATTTTTGTCACCATGGCTAAAATTAAAACTAATTTACTTTAGTTGGTTTCAAGTCTGAAAGGGATTTCAGAAACTCTCTGGAGTTCCAGACCAACTTTTTCAGTTTATGTGTCTTAACTATACCGAGTCTTTTTTAAAAAAAATTAATTAATTAATTATTTTCTTTTTAACTATACTGAGTCTTAAAACAGGCAACCTAACTTCTTAACTCACACAATTAATGGCAGAACTATGGTTTGGAACTCAGGTTTCTGGATTCCTGGTCCAGCCCTCTTTCCACAACAACGTTTTACTGTTTCAAATTTTGTAGCGTGAAGTATGGACTTTGAAACCAGAAAGACACAATTTCAAAGTCTGATTCAACACTTAAGTCACTTGTCTTCTCTGAGTGGAAGATTCCTTACACTGAAAATGAGGATAAAATGGGGACAATGGCATCTAGCCCAGAAGGCTAGACATGATGATGGTAAAGTACCTAGCACATTTCCTGGTCTGTGGAGGCGCCCCAGGAATGGCAGAGGTGACAGATAAGGCTATTATTACTTTTTTTTTTGATAATTTTGATACATTTCCTTATGTACTCAGCAAGTCTTTTAATTAGAATAGCAAAAGTTTGTCATGATGCCTGAATAAAATTATTCTCTTCAATCTTTTATCTGTAATAGATGAAGGTCACCAACAGTATTTATAGGGTCATTATTTTCAGCTGTTTGACACCTAACAATATTATTTTAAGCTCCAGCCAAGTGGATTTCCAATAATTATCTAACGTCTCTCAGTAATGATCTGTTACTTAAGATACACATCCAACTTCACCTTTCAACACATACTTGATAACCTCTCATTTACTAACTGTAATTGAGGCAAATTCAGCCTTGGCTAATTGGAGGGTTTTAGTACCCCCTTCTACATGTTATTCTTGATGACATAGCAATAGAATTTGAGTCTGCTTTTTATTTTTAATTACAGCAATAAAAAAGGACAATTTAAAAATATTAGAATGTTTAAGGACATTGTAATTCTTTGACAAATAACAAGTCCTATGTTCTACTGAGGACATGCAAAATGACCAAACCTTCGGAACCAAGACGGAATGCTTGCTTGTCAAGGGTTCCTTCTAGAACCAAACCCAAAGCTGTGTCAAATGTTTAGGCATTGAAGGAAAGTACATATAACTAGGACAATTAAACTATCACATCGTTTTAATGTTGGCCTCTTCACAATACTTTAGTTAGCTTTGTTTGTTATGGCTGCCACACAAAAAGTCTTCAAAAGAAGGTTGGTGAATGAAGGGGTGTTGAAGTGGGGAATATCTTTATGGAAAAAAAAAACTACCTTAGTTATGAACTGATGGCAAGCTTTGTAGTAAATAGGTCACCAAGACAAAAAAAATTGAAGATGTTAAACACACACACACACACACACACACACACACACTCACTCACTCTATCTACGATGGCCTATTTCCAGAATGACTCTACCTTTTTTTCATGCCAGAATATGTGCTTTAGCTACACTAAGAAGAAACATAATGGGAATAACAGCAATTCAACTTTCCCTTTCTGTTCTACATTTTTGAAAATTACCACATAAGCAAAAAAAGTAAGAGAACGTGGAAGTGAAACATATGTTTGTAAATTCAAAGCAATACCAAACGGAAGCAGAAATTGCTAATATGGCTTCACTATTTTGTGAAAGAGCCAGCTGGATGGGTGATAATTTTTCTACCCCTGCAGGGCATCAAAGCTTTTAGGAAATCATTCTTTTCACACATATTAACACTTAGTTTATTAAAACAGATGATACTTTTATTGTAAAACACTCTGGGTAGAAGCTAGAAACATAAAGTATGGAAGATAAGATTCATTCTGACCACCCCATCTGACAGCTACAGAACACTGACACGACAGACCATGGTGGAGATGGCGGTGTAGGAGGATCTTCTGTGACTGCCACAGCTGAAGTGTCACCATGAAGCCCGTGAATTGCTGTTATGAAAACATTTGCAGCAACTTGCATAATTAAATGCAACTGCCAGAAAAGCACTTCTAAAATGCAGAGATGTACGTAAATAAATACAGTCCAAAGCAAATATTACATTTCAGAATCAGCATTGTAGTGAATTATGCAAAGTTATGTCACAAGCAAAGACCATTTCCTTTGAACTGACTGTTAATAATTACAAATGAATGCCAATGCTGTTATTGAAATGGACTGCTCTCTTAGTCTCCCTTTATAGATACTCAAGAAATGACACTCGATGATAGATCATGGAATTGACAATCACAGTCCCCCATCTCTAGGAGTTACTTGGCCTAAATGAAGACCTTCACACTGACAAAACTGCGGTATTCTATCTGTTAGCATACATCCGTGCTGTAACTCAAGGTAAAAATGTTCAACAACAATAAAGTGGGAGATATTTGGCTTTCTGCCACTTATTTCTTTGTTTAACTGAAGAATATTTTACTGACTGAGAAAACTTTTATAGTTACAATCTGATTCTGTTTATGGAATGCTGCAAAGGCAAGCAAAATGATGTCGTACACAGTGATAAACTGATTATCATCTTGCTTATTAAAATTAACCTTAGAAGGTTTTGGAGTCGCTCATTCTAACAGTGACAGTTTTCATGTGCAAAAATAAGCCAATTAAAGCTTCTGTCAGCAGTCAATGAAATAAAATTATCAACTATATTAGCTGCACAGAAGAAAAAGGATCAAAACAGGAGCATTGGCTTTGCAAATATACCATCAAAATGCAACTTTTCCCTTCACAGCGACAATAATGCCAGCATACCTTGCAAGGGTAGTTACTTACATCGAACAACTTTTCTATGTACATTTCTTCATTGACCTTTTCTCGAAGAATATCCTGGTTTTGCCGAACAAACATAATATAGGTGTCGGCCAGATCCATTCCTGGTTTCTGTTGTGAGTGAAAAGCATGGGAAATAAAATAATATCAGGTCTTGATGGTGAAAATATTATTTAATCACAATTGTTGGAAAAATCAGTCACTATATCATTTCAAAAATTGCACTAGAAAAATACGCTTAAGACCAAATCAACAATGAGCACTTTCAGGAAAACGCATAAAGTAAATAAGTTTATCACTGCTGTCTATAACTTGAGGTCATACTAATCCATCATTATTAAAACGGCTAGAAATATATGGTTGTATAATAGAAGATATCTTTTAAAAAAATGGCTATCTTGAAGGGTCAATATGCTAAGCAGTATAAATGAATGAATTTTTCAAAAAATTCCTACATGCAATCATTTCCTAATTGCAAATACAATTTACTTTCCATCGTCTCTGGCTTGCCTATCTATCTATCTATCTATCTATCTATCTATCTATCTATCTATCTATCTACTGACCTATCTACCTACCTACCTATTTAGTAAAAATGTTAGCTTTCCTTGAGTTGCCTTCCTCTACAATTATGGGTGCTCAAGGAATACAAATTAAATTTTCTTATTAACCTGAATAAAGCATTATTAGGAAGATACTGGGCAAAAAACATTTAATGCATTACAAAGCGAAACTTAAACTAAAATTTTGTGCATTATCCATTGCTTCTCTTCATATTTATCAACAGTATCTCAAGGAGTTATTTTATTTTAGAAATGCAATATGGGAATTGATGACCTAGTCTCTGATGAAGAGCCAAAGGTGTGGATTTGATAACTTTCCAAAGTTATCCAACATTTAGTGTCTTCTAATGTTAGAGGAGATGGGGCAGATAATATAACTCCTCCTGGCTTTAGTGCCTACCAAGTCAGTCAGGAAGGGACAACAACCTGAACGGCACCTGATGGGTTTTCCTTCTAGACTTATCTTTAGTTCTTTCTTGGCTTTCAGCTAGCTGGACTAGTTCGTGAAAATGCGTATTTTATTATCTACACCTGGGGTTGAGTCATAATTTATATTGATTTATTTATTCGATTAGATTATAGCATCAACAATAACAAAATTGTAGAACAGATGCCCAAATAAATCAGTTAGTCTTATTTCATATTCATAGAATGTACTTATAACCTCTATCAACAGACTCATTTTGCAAAAGTAAATATTGCAAGGCAAGTAGGTGAAACAGTTAAATTTTAACTATTAAATAATCTATATCCTCTGCAAAAACAACTCAAGGTATATATCTGAGTGATACTAGGACAGTGGTAAGTGTCTTCTCCTTAAATGAAGGAAAGTTCTTACCACTGTTTTTGGGAGGGGAGAATATTTTATATACAATGATAAAACTCCCCATCTCTTAACCAGTATGCAGGCAATGAGCATATCTCATTAATAAAATCTAATTTGATTTTTTGGTAACAAAGTTATTTCTCAGTAATGAGAATGACAGCAAGTTTTTACTGCTCTTATGTTTAGCTTAAAGGTATTATAAATACATAACACATAAATTCAAGGGACCTTTCAAAAATAATCCTGATGTTATAACAAAATTAGTTATCAGTTATAGTTTGAAACAAGTATTTATATAAATGGCTTCACTGGTCTTTTCTTCAAGAGCTTCTATTAATGATGTAGGTAATATATTCCAAACATAATGGAGACAAT